ATAAATGGTTCCTGCATGGGAAAGTGCTGTTTACTGGAAAAATTAAAGTAAAACTGCAGCAGGGAGGTGTTGTGACAGTCACAGAAATTGTCAGGAAAGGATGACATTTCAGTCATCTCGAATTGCAATCCTGGTAAAATCCATTAGTGCCATCATATTTCCTTGGCTGCTGGCAGCTGGATGGCATTTTTTGAAAAGATTTAGTATTAAACTTCAGTTTAGTATTAAACTTCAGTTCTGAAACAACTGAAAACTCTGCTATGAATAAATAAATAAATAAATAAATAAATAAATAAATAAATATTGATTTTCTGTGTATTTTGGGGGTTCTTTGTGGTTTTTGTTTCCTCTGGAAGAGCCAAACAGGAGGGTATCCAATGTCTACCAGTTTACCAGTTGGAATACAATATTTACCAGTTTAAACTAAACTTTACTATCACAGCCTTAAACTCCCTGGACTTCTTCTGTTGCCCCTTTGAAACAAATTCAAAATTTCACTTCATATGTTCACGAGCAAAACTCCTTGCTGGAGAATGACTGAAATCCATGGCAGTTAAAAGGGAGAAGGAATGCAAAAGAAATTGAATTTAAAGCTGAACATGACAGAGTGGAAGAAGGTGGATCTGAAATTCTCATGAATGTGCAAAGTCATTTGCAAAGTTATTTAGCTCATAGGAAACATTACAGATGTGAGGTGCTGAGATATTTAATAGCTCTAACCTATAGTATTATAGGCAAATCTGCACTGCTGCAGCCTCAGATACAATGAGAGAGACTTTTTTATCTAGGAAGTTGTCATTTGGAATGGGATATGCATCTCATGTCCTGACTCAGAGAGAAGAAAAAGAGGAAAAATGTGAATAAATACATCTCACACCTTTCACGGGTACTAAAAGGTTATTCAAAAATAATTTTGAAAAATTCATTTGGAGAAAAAGATTAAAGATCAATTCAAGCACTTGCACAGAGATGAAGACACTTCACACTGGAACAATATTGCCTCACACAGGCAGACACTCAGCGAGGAAATGAAATACACTGGGATCAACAGAGCTCCAACAAGCTGACAGAACCACAAAATGATGTTGTTAAAATGACAGCTAAAGTGGGAACTGGTATTTCACCTGTTACAATCACGTTCATCTTCCACTCTTATTAGAACCTTCATTAAAAGCATGAAACATTAGCATTTTAATACCTATTTGAAAGACAACTTTTCATTTGCTTTCCTTTGGACTTTTTTTTTAATTACAAGATAATGACTGACTAGTCTAAATATTTTGTTAGGCGTATCTTCTGCTAAGTATTTAATTTTTCTCTGCTTTCATTCCGTTTGATGTACATTTCACACATGTCCAGGGCAGGGAACGGGGCTGGGGAAGGGGCTGGAGCCCCAGGAGGGGCTGAGGGAGCTGGGAAGGGGCTCAGCCTGGAGAAAAGGAGGCTCAGGGGGGACCTTGTGGCTCTGCACAGCTCCTGACAGGAGGGGACAGCCGGGGGGTCGGGCTCTGCTCCCAGGAACAGGGACAGGAGGAGAGGGAACGGCCTCAGGCTGGGCCAGGGCAAGCTCAGGGTGGACAGCAGCAGGAATTTCTCCATGGAAAGGCTGCTCAGGCCTTGGCAGGGGCTGCCCAGGGAGGTTTGGAGTGCCCATCCCTGGAGGTGTCCCAGGAAGGGCTGGAGGTGGCACTCAGAGCTCTGGGTTGGGGACACGGTGGGGATCAGGCACAGCTTGGATTTGGTGATCCTGGAGGGCTTTTCCAACCTCACTGAGTCCATGTTTCTCTGAGTGGTTGGGTCACATTGCCTCATTCCTCAGAGCACCCTAAGGACTTTTATCCTAAGTAGTTTTATACTCTACTACCAATCACACACAGGGATTTAGCTCTGTATCTGTATGTTTGAGACCGTCTATATATTAAATATAACATAAGAGAAACCTGCCTTGTAAAATAGGAATAAGAGCACTGCACTGTCAGAAAATAAACTTGGCAGTAGCTAAAACAGACCTGGACTCACACCACCCTAAATACCTGCACCTGAATTAAACCTGCCAATGCTTCCATGAAGGAGGAGCCAGCTTCAAAGTAAAAGGTCATTTTTATTTTCCCAATTACAGACAGAAGAGCAGTTTTCTGTGAAAATTAAATCTTGTGGAAAGTGAATTTTGAGTTGAAACATTGCTTGGTTCTCAGGACTCGGAGTCAGGCTATGTGACTAATGGTAAATCTCATTAAACACAAGGAAAAGGCAACAGACAGCAACCAGGGAGAACTTAAAGCACCTGCTGGGACAACCGAGGAGCTGCCCTGTGCTCCTGATGTGAGATGAAGTCAAGGAAATAAATTTTGTCCCCAGAAAGGCATGAAAAATAAAGGGAATTACAGCCTACAGGAGGGTGTAATTCCATGGGGGTGCCATGGAAGGGCATTTGGAGACACCATAAAATTTATTATGGCATGATTTAAGAGCAGGGTGGAGATGTGTAAGATTCCATAAGGGATGCTTAGGGAAGGACCAAAGTCAGGGGAAATAAAATGGATTTGAGATAACAAAATGGATTGGGGAGAGTAAATATGGGAAAATAAAGGAAAAAGGGCAAGTTTTGTGCAAGCAGGTGCCACTTGGCTGAGCCATGTGCCCAATCTCTGCCCTGGGTCCCTCTGATCACATTACACCCTATTTCCAGCTGCCTTCCCATTGTTGTGCTTCATGTTCCCGACCTCTGTGTCCACCCAGCAGCAGCCCCAGGTGGGACCAGGGGACAGCCAGGACGTGTCAGGGCGCGCACATAAGATGTGACTGCACAAACAAAGGTTCCCTAGCTCTGGGTGGCAGCAGGGCCACACCAGGGCCTGGGGACACAGATGGGTGCCCAAGGCCCCTGGACAGACCTGGCTGTGTCCCTGGGTCTCCGTGGAGCACACACTTGGTCTTGATGAAGCCTGGAGCTTCCACTGCTCTGCCTGACCCCATGGAGACTGCCAGGTTAATTAAACACACTATTCCCTTCAAAAATTCCTGCTGACAGCTGGGTTTATCTTTCTTGTGCTGGGAAATGGTTCCAGGATTATTTGCTGTCACCTTCCCAGAGTTTTATATGGGGCAAACCAGCCTAAGTTTGCTCAAATCCTCCTACTTGTCCTTCAGGAAGATCTAATGATGTTTGTTTTTTCCAGCCATCCTTTCCCAATTGCCATGAGCTTCCAGAGGTTCTGTGCTTATTAAACAAAAAATCCCACGCTAGTTTGGGTTGGAAGAGACCTTAAAGCTCATCCAGTACCACCTCCTTCCATGAGCAGGGTCACCTTCCACTATCCCAGGTTGCTCCAAGCCCCATCCAAACCAGCCTTGGGCACATCTAAACACAGAAAACTGATAATAGCACCATGGAAGAACTGCACAAATAGAAATCTATTTCCTCTTCAAAGCCTAGAAATTGATATCCTTCCTAAAGCTCTTCACATCTAACACACTCACTAATTTAGGGGGAGACTCATTAAGTTGTATCCAGCAGAGAAGGGTTAGACACCACATTCCTTCACTTAAGGATACAGACTCTCTTTCTCTTTGTATTTTCTACCCTGTTCAAACACTGATGTTCTCACAATTATTTCATTCCCCTCTTCTATTTTGAGTAATGAACCCAGGCAAGAAGTAAGGACTTAGTTCAATTACTTGAGATGGCAGAGGATGAAGTTGAGGTAAAAATATCTTAATGGGAAGGGAGAGAAATCTCTTACACAACTTTATAGTGATGCAGAAAGACTGGTTTGACAACAGCAGCTTGGGAAATGGAAGCAAAAAATAAACAGATTTGGGGCCAACCTTTCTAAAATAATCAAATGCATGAAACATCTCAGCATCATTGCTAAATATTAAAAAAGCAGCCTGTACTGTGATGACGAGAGGAGGCACAGGTGTGTACACCAGATTCCCAGCTGTGGGAAGAAGCTGTCAGTTACAATTAACAATTACACAGCCCCCCTTACAAAAGGTCATATCAATGTGTAATTGTCTTTGAAAAGGGGATTTGTTACATAGTTCCTCTTTTTAAATGGTCTAATCTCATCCTCAAGATCAGCAGTACTGTACAAGCACAGTGCTGCAGGTGACAGCCCTGAAGGACAGGGTGACAGCCAGAGGGACCTGGAGAAGCTCCAGAAGTGGCCCATGGGTGCCCCAGGAGGTTTTTAACGAGACCTGCTCAGGGCAACCCCTGGGCTCAATCCAGGCTGGGGAGCAGCAGAGGGAGCAGCCCTGGGAGAAGGAGCTGGGGGTGCTGGGGGTGAGAGCTGGAGCTGCCCCAGCCCTGAACCCCCTGCCCTGGGCTGAGCCCCAGCGTGGGCAGCAGGGGAGGGGGATTCTGCCCCTGTGCCCTGTGCTCAGCAGAGACCCCACCTGCAGAGCTGCCCCAGCACAGGCAGGAGCTGGAGCTGCTGGAGAGAGCCCAGGGGAGGCACCAGCATGGTCAGAGGGAGGGAGCAGCTCTGCTGGGAGGAGAGGATGGGAGAGCTGGGATTGTTCACCTGGAGAGGAGGAGCTTTGGGGTGATCTCATTGTGGCCTTGCAGTGCCTGAAGAGGCTGACAAAAAAATAGAGAGACAATTTCCAATGGATGGACTGACAGACAAGGGGGAATGGTTTCCCTGAGGCAGGATCGGAAGGGATATTTGGAAGAAATCCTTCCCTGTGAGGCTGGTGAAGCCCTGGCACAGGGTGCCCAGAGAAGCTGTGGCTGCCCCTGGATCCCTGGCAGTGTCCAAGGCCAGGTTGGATTTGGCTTGGATCTCCCTGGAACAGTGGAAGGTGTCCCTGCCCATGGCAGGGGTGGGATGGGATGAGCTCAAATGTTCCTTCCCCCCAGGCCTCTCCATGATCCATGATGCACATTAATATCCAAAAACACCCAGACACTCTGCCTGAGGCAGCTCCTGTCTCTCTATGTGTCTCTGCTGCTGTGAATTGCTGTAACACTTTGTTCTCCCTTGCACCATTATTTGCAGTGTAAATTCTGCTGATGGCTTTCTGTTAGCAATATGCAAAGCAAAATCTGCACCATATTTCCTGATGAATGAGGAACAGCTGTCTGAGGTGGCTGGGAGAGCACAAAGACATTCAGTGAGGTACCCAAGGATGCCAGAAATGTCTCAGGCACTTGAGGCACAGACTTTTTCAGACAGACAGGACATAACTTATCCTTACATCTCCTAATGCAGTTGCCTCTAAGTGGGAGCAAAGCTATGGATTTTGCTCCCAGACCCATGCAGGTGTTCAGTTATCCCCATAATCTTTGTCCAGGAGCCCTGACTGATTTAGCAGGGAGCGTGGAGCAGTTATTTCACCCAGCTCCTGAGTCAGCTGTGCTTCCCACACTGCTGTGGCAGCTGGCTCCAGGCTGGGAAGCATCACTAACACCACAATGATGTGATTCTTCCTCTCCATCCTCTCCATTGGTGAGTGCAGCTTGATGCTTTCTAATCCCTGCCCTGCTCCATCCTCTCCTTGTCACTGGCCCTGCAATTAGCAGAGTTATTCATTCTATTATGCTGTTGCAGGAGATAAGGTCAGACTGCTGCACAGAGATATCCCACCCACATTGTGGCTGATGCAGGATGTTCTAATGCAAAGGGAAAATCAAAAACCTACAGAGAATTGAAAAAATCCAAACCAGTCATCCTGACTGTGGAAACACTGTAAAACACCACCAGGCTCTCACCAGTGTGTACCTACACTGGTTAAACAAGCATTTTATGGACATCATTTCACCTACTCAATTGCTTAATGGTATAGTTCTCTCATGGTCCTCCCACTCTTAACTGGGACAACTTAGAATTTATATGGTAATTAAATGTACCCCATTTTAATTTGCCTTTTTCTAAAATATATAGATATGGCACTGCTAACCAGGTGATTTCATTACCCTTTTTTTGGTCAGAACTCATCCACAAATATCAGCAGCTCTTTATTGCTCTAATATCACTACTTCAGATAACAGGAGATCTCTGGAGCAAAAGCATTGGTCATAATCGTGATCCTGATTTAGAGACAGAGTGATATTTTTCAATTCATGTTACTGCATTTGACAGCTTCCAGCTTCCCTGTGCCTTAGCAATAACAAAGCCTTTGGCAAAGGTGTTTAACAGCAAAAAAACCCACCCCAAAATAGGCAAAGGGAGCTGTAATCACCCTAAATCCTTATCTTCAGCTCAGGAATCTTTCCTAAGGACAAGCAGCTGTCAGCTCCTTAAGATGTGGAGCCAGGTGTGCAAGGGCACGGGTCAGCCCTTTGGAAAAGAGCTTTGTTAGAACCACCAGGGACCAAGGCAGGATGGGGCTGTGGAGCCTTTTCCAAAGGGCAATGGGACAGAGAGGGTCAGGGAGAAGGAGGATCTGGGAGGGAATGGCTGTTAAACACTGGGGTGCAGCAAGAGGAAACCTTAACGAGTCACAAATCGCTCCTGCCACAGATCAGAACTCTGCTTCTCTCCTGGCAGAGTAGAAAGGTCTCTCCTGAGGTCCCCAAGAGTGATGAGATGAGAGGTGTGCTGGGGAAGCACTAAAGATCATTTTGTGACGTGCAGACAGAGCAAGCCCTTCTTCAGGATTGCCTTTAGGTTTAGGTGTTTCAGATATGCTTGCTGGGCTGCCATTAGTTACCCACCTGAGCTACAGCTCAGAGCAGGAGGGAGAAGTCTCTGAGTGTCTCTGAGTTGCTGTGTTCAGAGTTATTAAAGTTGAAAACAACCCCTGTGGCAGCAGCTCTCTGCCCACAGAGAGCAGGCACAACTTTCCCAGGCATTTTCCTGGGGAAGGATGTGAGAAGTTCAGGGGAAAGAATGAGAAACAATTCTTATCTCCACTTGTTGCACCTGCTGTTGTGCACGTGTGGAATGTGCCGTGGAGATTTGTGTACCAAAGGGTGATTTCTTAATTGGACACTGGATGGTGTTTGGATGGATTGACCAGTTACGTCAAAACCACATCAGACTGGCTGAAAGGGTTACTGGGTTTCTTAATAACTATAGTATAAGATAGTATAAAATAATATAATAAAGCAATTGATCAACATTCTGCAGTCATGGAATCAATGCTAATTATTCCCCAACTGGGGGCCTGCAGCGACAAATCCCTGCCTGGCAGATTCCAGAGCCACATTTGTTTCCCTGGCAGCTGCCCTGGGTTCCCCACCATACTTCAGAGACAAAAGAGCAAATAACATCCCCAAAACCAGCAGAGGCTGGCACAAGGAATGAGGTTTTCTTGACAGTGCAACTCGAGGGTGTGAGGGAAGAGAGCAGCAGTTTTGTCACTTCTGACACTGGCACTTTTTTGTTACATTTCCTGGGAAAGGAGGTTCATATCCCAAATAATCAAAATGAATGGGAGCACCACTCCTGAGCTCTGTTACTGTGTATATGGGCAGCAGGTTTCTCACCCATCCTTGGCTGGGGAACATGGGCTGCAGAAAGGACAGGGGGAGAAAATGAAGAATAATTTAACCATATGGCCCTTTAGTTTGTGATCTATCTCCGTGACAGGATGTCAGATACTTTATGTTGCACCTGGAGCAGAGACGCCAACCAAAAAAATGGGGGTTTACTACAAACAAGGCTGGAATAAATACCAGAGACTGAAAAAATACCTTTGTTGCTTTGCATCCTAGAGTTGCCCTTTCTTTTCCAACTTCTGGCATTTTCCTGGGTGTATTATGGTGCAGATCAAGCAGGATTTAATCATGTTAAAGATTTAGTCAATAAACTGCTTTTGAAATGGTTTAGTCCTAGCACAGAATGCAAATACCTGATTAGAAGATTTTTAGCTATTTGTGTTAAACATAGAAAATTTAAACAGGATTATTAGAAATGGGAGACTATCAAAATTTTATATGTACAGAACAGATTTGTGAAAGCATTTACCTTTCCGTAAAAACATTTAAGTTGGAAAAACCACCAGTATCATCAAGTTTAACCTTTGACCAATATCCCCACACTAAGTGCCACATATACTTGGTTTTCAAATATTTGATGTATTTAAATCCTATTGGCTCTGAATTCTGAGCTAGGACAGATTACAGTGATTTATTCTTATGAGGTGCATACTCTTTCTGGTAGTTTTTGCAAAAGAAAATCCACATTTAGTAAGATGGCTGATCCAGAATAATAAGGACACACAGTAGGAAAAACACATCCTCTGCTTTCCTTTCTTTCTTTCTCCTCTCCTCCTTCCCACAGCTCTTAAGTTTGTTTGTAAGCAGAGGTTGTTTTTCATCCTATTTGAGTGATTTTGTGTAAACCAGCATTGAGAGAAAACAGGACTTGGGTAAACTCAGGGGGGTCAAATCCACAGCGACAATTCTTTGTGGATACAGTAAAACATTGCTTTTCCTTTAAAAGTTTTGTTTCAATTTCAATGACATCTCAGTGATCCTTTTACTTGCTATTTTACCTTAATTGATCCCCTAAGGTCTATAATTTCATGGGGTGATACTCTATTAAAAATGTTAACAAGATTCCAAACACCAAAAAAGGCACCATGCAGAGCTGGAAAGGCAAAGTCAAATTTATCAGGGAGAATTAAAGCAGCCATTATAGAATAAAAATTGCATATTATAGTAAATATTTTCCTCACTGTATAAAGAATGTATTTAAAACAAAGATGCACCAGAACAAGACTCATTACTCATGCACTCCTAAATATCTCCTATAGCAACCTTTTATCAATAAACTGGGAAATCTTTCATGGAGAGCTGGAAATTTATTTTTAGGTTATTAAAAAATGCCATTGAGAAGTGTTGCTGCTATTGCAGACCTTCAATCCTAAAAAATAATGTAGGTTCTTTGCTCCTCAAATGAGGTGATGCTCAAATTCTACAAATGTGCCCATCAATTTCAGTATGAACTGAGCTGAACTGGGCTGAACTCAGAAGAATTGTGTTCAAAAGCTGAAAACCAGGCCTCACTCATGTGGAGCTTGGTTTGTTTGGTCCATTGGCTTCTTTGTGCTCTAATAAGACTGCAACTTTTACTGCTGCATATTCAGTGCCCCTTCCAGAAATTCAGCTTTTATCTCCACATTATGATTTCTTCTGTTGTTCATCTCATGTGCTTCCTCAAAAATACCCTGTCTCTTCCCAGAGATCAATAGCAGAATCATTTTAATTCTTCAGGAAATAACAGATAACTTAAAAATGGGAAATAAAGCCCACCCTTCTGTGTGTGTGTAACTTTCCTTGTTAAAAGCATAGTTTGTTTAAAATCTTTAATTACTTTACCTCTCATGTATGCACAGTACACAAGGAGATGAAGCCATCCAGATAATAAGGACATAAAAGATGAAAGTCACAAAACAAAATGTGTGGTTTTGTTTTCTATCTTCCCTCTTCAAAAGAAATAATCTCAGGCAATACAGAGAGAAGATAAACACAGAATGCTGTGAAAAGTGAAATGAGAGATAAAGAAAATATTTACTTCCTGAGGTATTCCCACCTGATATAAAAGATAAAAAAGTTGGACTTTCTAGATGATACTGATGGAAATATTTCCCTGATTTGTTTTGCCATTCCTCAGCCTTAGTGTGTGTGTGCAGAATGTGGTGTCCATTAAAATAATCACATTTTCCGGTCTTCCAGACAGTGCTCACTAATCTTCCTTGAACTGTAGAAACAATAAGATTTTCTGGATGTCATAAAATAAGTATTTTGGTTTATCTTTCTCTTCTTTATGATGTTGTCATCATAAAAACCTTGCTGCTCTATGGGTTTGTTTGTTTGGTATTTTTTTACGTATTTGATGTTTTGTAGGTATCGAATTTGGTGGAATTAGCAGAGAATATATTTGGGAAAATCATCTCACACTCCCCAAATTGCAGCTACTGCTGAGGGAAAATGAGCCATCCACTATGATAACTGGAGTCAAGGAGGGTAAAGAAAGGAAGAATAAACACCCAGGAAAGTCAGGGCTAGGAAGAACCTGCTGGAACTGAATTACCAAAAGAAGAGAAAGTGAAATATTGTCTGCATCTCCAATGTTCATGTCATCTTTGATTTTTGGGTGGCTGCACTGAATTATCTGCCATTCTTTTGTCAATAACTCCCTTAGTTAAAAACTGAGAGCTAAATCATTCCAGATTTTTAAAAGATGCATATCAGATGGAAACTGAACCTCTCCTTGAACCGTGGTGCAAATTCACCAACAGTTCTTGTTGAAAATGTTCCAAATTTTATGGGAAACCTGGAGAATTGATCTAGACATGCATCAGAAAGTGCATTACTTTGTGAAGAAAAAAAATTTAAGATTCTTTACTAAACTTGACCAAAGGACTTTACTGTCTCTGGGAACAGCTCTGAATGAGGAAAGGCTGGGAGAACTGGGATTGTTCACCTGGAGAAGAGGATGGTGTGACCTGGGTTCACCTGGGGTGACATCACTGTGACCTTCCAGGACCTGAAGGAGCCAACAAGAAAGATGGAAAGAGGTTATTTACAAGGGATGGAGGGACAGGACAAGGGGGAATAGTGGATTCCCACTGCCACAGAGCAGGGATGGAGATGGATGGGATATTGGGAGGGAATAGTTCCCTGTGAGGGTGGGCAGGCCCTGGCACAGGGTGTCCAGAGAAGCTGTGGCTGCCCCTGGATCCCTGGCAGTGTCCAAGGCCAGGCTGGATGGGGCTTGGAGCAACCGGGGATAGTGGAAGGTGTCCCTGCCCATGGCAGGGGTGTCACTGGATGAGCTCTAAAGATCATTTCCTGCTCACACACCACCCATTTTTCACACCCTGCTCACTCCAATTCCTCACTTGTGCACCTCAATCCTTGTTCTCAGCATTCCTTGTATCCATACTCTCTCTATGTCAGCAAACACCAAATGCCTTCTCTAAACCATGAGAAATGCAAATACGGTGG